ATATAGCTGTATCTGTTATGTATTTGATCATGTTTTGAACTTTTAAAATACTGCATGATAGAACCAGAAGCTGTACTTCATATTAGTGACTTTGGCCTTTTTTGACGGGTTGCCTTGATTTTTGCTTCTACTTTTCATTTAAAATAAGTTTTAATTTTCGGCAGGTATCTAAGTTTCTTCTACATATTAAAAAGTTGTTAAACATCTGAGTGGTGCACTACCGCTAGTAGTGGTGAGAAAGTGTATTGCATCTTATTCAAAATCAATGTGGTCCCGCGGCCCTCTGCGGCCCAAAGTCAAAAACTATTGTTCTTTTGAGGCCCTCAAGGTGGCGCTCACAGCCCACAATTGGGCCGCAGCCCACAGGTTAAGAATCTCTGGACTAAACAATAACAAACACAGATCAAAATAAATACAAAATGGCCATTTCCATAAAACAGTTACTGGTTGTCAATTCCCAGCAGGGAGAGAAAGCAGGGACAACTGATAAAGTTGGGCAACAAAATCATACGCACAACCTAGAATTAGGGGTGTCCCAATACAAGCTTTTCTCTAGTACTGTACTCTCTCACTGATACAGAGTACTGATTTTTCAACTTGTATATATTTCCTAAACATGGAACTGACAAACCTTTATTTTTCATCCCTGCCTTGTATTTGTTGTACTTGTATGTATGCATTATTGGCACTGGCACATTTTGTACGAGTACATATAAAAAGGCTGGTATCGGTACTGAACACCACTACCTAGCATACAGTTTTCCATACTGTGCATTGAAAAAATTGGGTGATTTTTGAAAGTCGGCTGCTCGAAACGTGGCCAAAAAAATGCAACTGAGATAAAATAACTTTAATAATTAAGTACTATGTGCAGCTTTTAAACACAGATGTCTAAAAATGTAGCCCTGGAGCCTGTTTCATATGGACTTTTGAGAACTGTTTCCATTTCAGTGCATGTAAACCCACTCTTTTATGAGCATCTTATTTATGTTTGTTTTATTTAAAGAAGTGAGCAGGAAATCTACCTGTTTCATTTTCTCTAAATCAGAGTCCTCAGATCCGTCACTATTATTGCCTGATCCCTTTCCCCTGTGAGAAGACAAGAAACACACAAATCCAAATATGTCATGTTTGTGTTTCACAACAACAACAAAGCTCTGCATTGTGCGGATAATCAAATAAATCACAATGGTCCAAGAAGGATGAAAGAGCAGTGAATGGAAAAGGGAAGAAAGACGAGGGTAGGCTGAACAAAAACTAATTATTCCTTTAATAATGCAACATGAGCTGGGAAAAGTAATTAGTGCCATTTTAAAAGCATGTTTTGTATTCGCGAGCAGTTTATCCTGCTCAGACTTTATGACGCAGCAGAGGGTAAACCAGCTGTATTCAGAACAAAGTTAAACACAAAAACAAGTCTGAATCACAGAGGCTTTCATCTTGTTCAACTTTCAGAGATAAAACATGTCCAGGTCCCTCGGGTCCACATGCACGTCACCCTCTGATCCATTAGATGGAGCTATCAGATGTTAAACCTGCTGCCACAGCATGGAGGCTGCAGTAACGCTCGAGGAGGAAAAGGAAGGCAGAGAAGCAGAAAGAAGCTGAGGTCACGGTGCAGTCGGACAGCAGCATGTATACCTTAAAACTTGGGACAATGAGGGGGTGGTGTCCATGCTCTTGGGGATGGAGTTATTCCTGTTAGTGAAACACACACACACACACACACTCCTCTTAAAATGGAACTGAACAACGCTCCCACGCAAAAACACGCTTAGTCCTCAGGCCAACAGAGGTGTAAATGTGATAACAAAAAATATAAATAAATAAAATTACACAAAAACACACCATGATGGAGAACTAGTTGTGAGGTGAGTTCAAGCACAAGACACCTGTTGGTTACAGATTTACTGATGACAGCAGCACAAACACACACAAATCAAATGTTACCTGACCATGGATGCTTTCTCCCAAGGTTTTCTCATCGTATCTAAAAAGGCGAATATATAAAAACATGAGCAGCTCATTTTAATTTTGAATAAGCGGTACTTTTAATATCAAGGAGAATGTAGGAGGCATGCTGCAAAATAAACTGTTCAGTTCTCACCACTTTGACCTTGGGGCTCTGAATCATCCTGCATGGTAGGAAAAAAAAAACATCTGTCAACACTGAGTCATTAACTATTTCTACACTGACTTTCCATCATCTACAGAATAAATATATTGTATATTTTATTTTATATGCATAGAGTTACTTAAAGAAGACATATCATGCTTTTAAATCCTTCTTTTTCACATTTAAATCAATCTGTTTGGGTCTATATAAAGTGGAACTACAATGCTTTGGTTTGAATTCCTCCTCATTGCAGCTCCACAAGACCCTCTTTCACCCCTTTTCTGAGGTGTCTCTCAGATCAACTCGTTTTGATGCTGTCTCTTTAAAGTCAAACTAAGTGCTTCACCTCCCGTCCCTCTTCAGCTTCCAGACCGGTTCATTCTAGTTTGACAGAGGTGGTTATGGCTACATAGCAGCACATAAATGTTTTATTTACAACTAATTATAATATGTCAACAATGGCAGACTTGTCCATCAAGCCTTACATGTCAGAGCAAGAGTCTGACCCAGAGCCAGAGGAGAAAGCAGAAATTCTAKTTGGTAAGTCCAGACCTTGCAAACACTGATGTAATAGTTCAGAAAATGTCGCAGAAAATAGATAAAACTGAACGGGTTAAAAAATATGACCCAAACAGAATATAAAGATATTTTTGCRGCACCAGGAGAGACAATATATTTAAATTTTCTGCTCTCCCAGCGACTCCAAGGACAACAAAATGCATTTAATGGCTAAAATAGTGGATTTAGCATGATATGTCCCCTTTAAAAATAATGTAAGCCAAAAATAAWACTCTTACATTTTCTTGCGTCTTCACAGGTGGCTTCTCTCCACTATTTGCAGCTTTTCTCCTGGTGGATAAAAAAAATTGCTTCACGCTATGGTCTCAAGATGAAGAATTTAAGAGTTTGAAACAGTAAAAAAAAGATCAAAAACTCAATTCAAAGGGAGGTTGAAGCGTGAATAAAAATCAAGAACCACTGCAAACTTCACTCACCTTCGCGCCAAGATGGCACTCATCTCCCCCATCAAACCCCCTCCTCCTCCTCCACCACCTCCTCCACCCCCTCCTCCGATAGACGAGGTGCTGCTGCGACTGGGGTCGGCTCTTGCCACTGGAGCGGCTGCTGGAGCCGAGGCTGAATCTTCCTGCTGTGGGCGACAAACGGTAAAAACGTGGAGGGCGGCTTCATACAACTGCAGCCTTCAAAGTCTCCACAACCGCATCAAAGCAACAACAAAACATCCACTATAAAATCAGAAAAAGGCAGAATGAATTACTGAACAGTAAACATGTTGACTTGTGGCAGCAGAATTAGAACTGGTGTATTTCTTCTTATTAGAAATGGCTGCATTACATTTAGGTCAGCACAGATTCTTGTTTTGTCAGTAATTAATGATTGCCTCTTGTTAAAAAGATTGACAGAAAAAAAATAAGGATTTTTTTTGCAACAAGCACTTTTATTTTTACATAAAAGTTGCCAACACTCACCTTGGACACTTTGCGGAGTTTTGCCGCCGCCAGTGCAGCTGCCAATCCCCCACCTCCACCACCACCACCACCACCACCGACGTCATCCCCGCCTCCTCCGCCTGACATGGGCAGAGGCGGAGCTGGAGGGGGTCCTGTGGGAGGGGGTCCCGGAGGAGGAGGGATGCCAGCAGCTGGGGGAGGGCAAGGTGGTGGTGGGGGAGCTGGAGGTGGAGGAGGGCCTACAGGGGCCATCGGTGGAGCTGGAGCTGTGTGGAACAAAGAGGTGAAAAAGGACAGTCAGTAACCATTAATATGCTTCTTAGTGGGAAGAATAAAAATGTTTGTGGTGACACTATGACAAMATTTCACACTAGCCCTAAAAAATAAATGCTATCTTGCAAATCAAGGTTTGGCCAACCCACTACTGACTGTGACTATATCGAAGTAATCAGATGATCTTTAGTTTTCATTGAAACTGTGACTTTAAAAAGCACAAAGTAAATGTTCAGAATATTCCATTTAGGTGTGACTGACATATTAGTTGTATTTAATATTGTTGTTCATCTTAAATCATAGATTGCCACGAGCGCCACCTTGAGRGCCTCAGAGGGCAGCGGAACCGCATTGATTTTGAATAAGGTGCAATACACTTTCTCACCACTAGTAGAAGTAGTGCACCACTCATTTGTTTAACAACTTTTTAATGTGTAGAAGAGGCTTAGAAACCTGCCGAGAATGGAAACTTATTTTAAATTAAAAGTAGAAGCAAAAATGAAGGCAACCTGTCAAAAAGGCCAGTTTGTCACTAATATGAAGTACAGCTTCTGTTTATACCAGGCAATATTTTAAAAGTTCAAAACATGATCAAATACAGTTGCAGATACAGCTATACTTTAATTCGCACTTTAATTTTTTGTAGTTTACATTTTTTAATATTTTTAATGTATTTTAAAGAAACTTCAAACTTGTCAAAAACCTGTTGTTACTGTTATTGTTTTGTAAGAAAATATTACATTCCATCAGACTTGAACAGTTTGTCACTAATATGAAGAGCAGCTTCTGTTTCTACCATGCAAAAGTTTAAAGAGGTTATAT